GCGCAACCGTGCCTCCGCGAGTCTGGCGGCCCATCGCCGCGGGCCCAGGTGCTCGCGAAGACGTCGGCCAACGCCCCCTTAAGCACCGCCCGTCCACTCCGAGCATTTCGGCCGCGATCCCTTTCGCACCCGCTGCCTTCCCTTTATTCAGATTTCGCGCGTAATCGGACATTTTCCCCTGCTGTGAATGGCGAAAGTACAGGTGTCGGAACTTCGTTCCTCGGCGACGCTGCTAGCCCCCGGATCCTCGCGGGCCCCTGCGTGCAATTCCTGCGCCAGGTCGACCGCGCCCCTCTGATGCCGTTTTTCTATTTGATCGCATGGCAGTCTCGAGGTCAGCCGCATGCCTGCAATGCTGCCGAAAATTGCCTCGACGCGCCCCGCGCGCGATTTGCGCCAGTCGCCCTCCTGCCCCGTGAACTTGAGCTCGCCCAAAAAGCTTCGCTGCTTCGCTCCGCGAAGGGCGCGCGCGCGTGCGCGTGCGTGGGGGGGGGGGGGGGGGGGGGCGCCCACAGGCCCCCAAGAAGCCCTCAGGAAACGCTGGATCGGGGCGGGGGGGGCGGGGGGGGCGCGATCCCCAGCGCATTTAGCGACAGGGGGCGGGGGGGCCACAAGTCCCCGAGAGCCCTCAAGATGCCCTTGCGGGCCCCCGAGAGGCCCGAATGAAGCCCCGAGAGGCCCCGGCAACGACCCCCAAGAGGCACCCCAGGTCCCTTGCTCACTCTCCTGAGCCTCAGTCCCCAAGCTTCAGGATTCCTCATGGACCCAGACCCCAAGCGTTCAAATCTCTCGAGGCTCCCCGCGCGCCCTGCGGGGCCCCCAGAATACTCCCGCATGGCAATTTCAAGCCCAAGAGAAGCCCAGGACGGGCCAACGGGGCCCCGCTAGGCCGTCGAGACGCCCCGAGACAGCCTCGAATCACCGAACGCTCGGTCCAAGACACCCAGGGTGGCCCCATGGCCATTACACGGATGACATCATCATAATCGTCGCCATCTTCATCAGCAGCATCACCATCGTTACCAGGGGCGCCCTGGAACGGCGGCACTGGCAGAAGGCAATGTCGATCTGACGCCTGGGCGCGCCGTTCCAGCGTGGCCATGCATTGGCGCGCGGCGTGGGGTAATATGCGCGCGTAGCACATAACGCATTTTCTGCTGGCGAAGCGGCCAACGAATCTCCGCGATCACTTCGCTCCCCCATCCGATTGTCGCCAATGAATTGGCACTCGCACGAAACGCCGCCAGATCCCCACGCATCGTCCCAAACGCCACCCGCCACAGAAAAAAGCTGGCCGGAATGCTTCGCCTGCAGTCGGATGTAGTCCAACTTTGAGTGCGCGTCCTCGACGCCTGCGTCAGGATACGCTGCATTTGGCGCGTGAACGCGCACGAGCTGAAAATATGTAGCGCCCCGCAGTTGAGGATGAAGAGTGAGGGGACGGCGAGGACGTCGTCAGTCTGCGAGGCTCTGAAGAAGTCCGCCACAAGCGCCTGGCTTTTACAAATTATGCAGTGAGCCCGCCGCAGGCGCCGATTTTTTCATTAAACCAACGCGGGTGGATCGCGGGGTGGGTCGCGGGCGGGTCGCGGGCAGGTCGCGGGTGGGTCGGGGGCCGGGTCGCGCATGGGTCGCGGGGCGGGTAGCGGGTGGGTCGCGGGTGGGTCGCGGTGTGGGTCGCAAGGTGGGTCGCGGGGTGGGTCGCGGGGTGGGTCGCGGGGTGGGCCGCGGGTGGGTCGCGGGGTGGGCCGCGGGGTCGGTCGCGGGTGGGTCGCTGGCGGGTCGCGGGTTGGGTCGCGGGGAAATGTCGCGGGCGGGTCGCGGGGTGGGTCGCGGGGTGGGTCACGGGGGGGGTCGCGAGCGGGCCGCGAGCGGGTCGCGGGCGGCACGACGAAAACGACGAAATGCAGAATCCCCGCCACGGGCCCCCACTTCAGCTGCGCACCCTGGGAACATGAGTGCCAACTCGGCCCCCTCACCCTGGCAAATGTGACAATTCAGTGTCCTGACAACGATCTCAATTGCCATGCGTTGAAAAGTGCGATAACCAAATCGCCCACCGCCCGTGCACCAAGATAGTTACCCCGTTTCGTTCGATCGCCTCTCCAGCTCCCAGGAAGACGCGGCCGCTTTCAGTTTCGAACTGCTCCGCAGCTGCATACCGCTAGGTCTCGCCAACGAAAACAGTGTCCAAATTATCCAGTCTTGACAAATCAGAAGGCACGTCTTGAAATCGGGCCTCGTTTCTGTATTGACTGGCCGTTTTTCGTGAGAAATCGCGGAGTTGTGAATGATGCCGCTGGCCCTCAGGCTGACTCCGTTACGTGGTTTCGAAAGCGAGCGCGCCGGATCATCTCCACCCACCATTCTCAACTCGCCGTGCCACCCCCGCAACCCTGTCACACATTGAATTAAACTTACCATGACATGTTCTGAATTCTTAGAACACCTCATCCGTGCAGTATTCGACTGGGCATTGTCGTGTAGGCGGGCGCGGGCACGCGCGTTCGGGCCCTACTCGTCGTCATCTTTCCTTCCGCCACGCTTCTCGGACCATTCCTCGATTTCTTCCTGCACGTCGTCCTTGATGTGTTTCCACTGCTCGTCCGGCTCGACAACTGCGTTGTCCGCGACGGTCGCCGCAACCTTGACCTTTACTTTGGCAACGTCCTTGCTCGGAGGAATCCAGACGTTTTCGGGGTCGCTCCCGCACTTGTCGATGAGTTGCCCCTTGATCAAACCAAGCGTTCAATCTCGACCGCGTGCCTGGAAACGTCGATTTTCCGCAAACCAAACTTTGGTGCATCCGCCGATGTCCATCGACGACTCCCGGATACGCTGGTCGAAGCCTTTCTGCGCCACGTCCTTGGTGAACGGGATGACTCTCATTCGCGCCGGATCCTTGAAGATGAACACCTTCTTCACCTCGGTCCTCCTCATGCCCTCCTTCAAGAAACCTCCACCTTGTCCACCAACTCTTGCTGCTCCAAGCTCTCCGGGGAGCCTCCGACGATCACCTTATGGCGACTGAAACATTCCTCGTTTTCTTCTGTTGCTGGCTGTTCCTGTCCCGTCTTCTGGATGCGCCCCATGTCGGTTCGAAGACTGCGAGCCGCCTCCATGGCTGAGATCGCCGACTCTGAAGCCTTCCCCGCCTGCGAGCGCACGGACATAGGCATCGATAGGGTGTCCTTCTTCAAAAATATTTCGATATTGTCTTGCCCCCCTGGCAATCAGCTCGTCGTCCTCCTAATCCTCCCACGCGTATGTGCCTTCCTTGCGGTCGCAACGAAACGCACCACCAATAGGCTACCGTTTCCTTGTAATCCTCTCGGGCGTGCTGCCCATGGGGTGTTCGCGCATGGTGGCCCGACATGAACCACAATAGCTACACATGCACATCGACGCGCTCCACCCGGGATGCTACTAACCCATGAGCAACGCTCAATGTCGGACCTACCCTTCAGTTTATCAAGGTAGGCGCTACACTCCCCACAGTTCATGATCATCGCAACGCTTGTACCGAAGGGTCGCCACTCCAGTTCCGAAACGCAGACTATGAAGAGTCAACACAATGATGGCTCGATGCGCTTGTGTACAAAAGAGCCCTAGAAACACACAAAGGCCAAACCCGCGAGGGCACAGAGTATGCGCTCACATGGTCGGGGGAGTTGGAGCCACGGTTCATTCATCACCCCCCTCTTCCACCACATGTGATGGGCCTGTTTTCCACCACCACCACCATTATAGGTTGGAGGGGGAGGGGGTCCTCCTCCTCCACCTCCTCTTCCTCCTCCTCCCGCCCCCGCCTCCTCCTCCTCCTCCTTCTCCTGCTCCTCCTCCTCCTCCTCCTCCTCCTCCTCCTCCTCCTCCTCCTCCTCCCCTTCGTCCTCCTCCTCCTCGTCCTTCACCTCCTCCCCCCCTCCAAATTATGGTGGTGGTGGTGGAAAACAGGCCCGTCAACCTGCCCGCCCATTGCTCTTTCCAACGGAAGGATCGGCGCTGCGGGTTGGTCGGGAGCGCCCAGCGGGGAATCCCGGCAGGTCGACCCCCCACCCCCTCTCAAACAGGAACCTCTGGTCGCCATTGGCTTCCAGGGGGCACCACGGTCGTGCCCCATCAACATGGCCCTCCTCTTCTCCTCCAAGCTCAGGCAACTTACAGTTTCAGATGTTAGTAGTCTATGGGGGTGAGAATCACTTGGGCGGCTCTGGAGGTCTCGTCCAGGGAAGTGGCCCTCCTCTTCTTATCCCCCTCATCCCTTCTGCCCGCTTCCTGCACCCCCCTCTACGTACGCCCTCCCCCTCCCAGTCATCGCCGCCCCCTCACCACGAAACGCCCGACAGAGAGGGGACCAGCCTGTGACAGGCCGCGCCCGGGCCAGGGGGATCGAAGCGGGTCGAATCGATCTGTGAGCAGAGCTGCGCTGGCCCCAGACCCTGGACGTCATGAGTTTCTCATGACGTGGACTCCCAGAGGTCGGTCTGGACCCCGTCCCCGGGCCGGGTCCTCCGTCCCGAGGCGCTGTTTTGCAGTCCCAGGGGCCCGGCGAGTGCCCCCCCCGGAGGCCGAACACTCGTTAGCAGACAGCGCCCCTCGCCTGAGACCCGACGTGGCCAAAAGCATGGCAGCAGCGTAGAGTTCACGCCGCGAGCCCTGGACACCATCTTGGCCGCCCGCCCGCCCCGCCAGCCCTGGCCTCCTGCCCCGCGCGTGCGTCGCCGTCGGCCTGCCTCTGCCCTCCTCGCCCCCTTCCGCCGGGCAGCACAGCCATGCCGGGGACCGGCGTGGCGGCGTGTGGAGGTCTTCAGCCGGCTTCTGCGGCACTCCTCGTCGGCCGCGCTCCTTGCCGCTCCATGCGACTGCAACGCTTGTTTCCGCCCCGCTCCATGCGACTCCATGTTTGTCTCTCTGCGTCACGCTTCGAGCCGGATCGACCCGCGAGGGCCCCCGGGGCCCGGGAAGGGGCAGGACCGCGGCGGCGGCCGCGGCGGCTGCGCCTTGTCCTCGGGCACGCCGCACACGGCCGCCAGGGCCTCCCGCCGCCGCTCGCTCTGCGCCATCCTGGCCTCCATGGCGGCCATCGCGGAGGAGTCCTCCCCGCGGGCGCCCACTGCCCCGGGCGTGGCTTGAGGGGGGGGGGGGCGATGCAGCCAGCCCGTGCCACAAGGACGCGCGAGAAGGATGCAGGGGCCCTGGAAGGCCACGTCGACACCTTGCAAGCGGGGCGCGGCCAGCGGAAGCGGCCGAGGATGGGCCGAGGAGACGAGGACGCAATGGGGGTACCCTTGGGAAGGTTGCCCATCCTTCCCATGCGGGTCGACTGCAAGTGGGGGGGGGGTGCATTGTCGGGCCTGTGAGGCCCCCTTCCCCGGCCCGAAACAAGGCCCCTTGCGGAGCCCTGGAGGGCTGCTTTTCTGCAGCCCTCGCTGCCCCCCCACGTATCGCCCCCCGATCGCGCGCCGCCCAAGCCCCCCAGGGAACCCCGAGATCATTTTGTTGTGTGTTTCGCAACGGTCGTTTTCGCCCTGCTTCGGGCCCCGGGGTCCTCGCAGGTCGATTCCCTAGACGAACCGCGGAAGAAGATAAGGTCTAGGGCTCTGAATGTGATTTGTCATACATGCTACCTCGCAACGTGAGATCTCAGGGCGAGGAGGGGGGGAGGGAGGAGGACAGGATAGGATAGGACCGATTTCGAAGCGAGGTGACATTACTGAATCAAACCAGAACGAGCATGAAGCTCGGCTCTGCTTATGGCTGCTTGAGGGAGGACGGGGGCGAGGGAACGAGAGGAGGGGAGGGGAGGGGAGGAAGGGGGGGAGGCAGGGGAGGATGAAGAGATCAGATCAGACGATGCGCAACGCGCGGACCCCACCACGAGACTATGGATGAGCCAGCATCCGCCGCTTCCGTCGGGGATCCCCTGGCTGGGCGGCAGGATCGGGCTCCCACGACGCGCAGCGATTTTCCCTCTAGGGAGGGTGCGGGGGAGGCGAAGCGTTGCGATGCCGTCCTCCGCGCAGCCCTCCTTCCCGTCCTGCTGCCCCCGCCCTGCTCCTCCTCTGGAGGCCTCCTGGACGGGCCCGGGCAAGTGGGCGGTCAGAGGGCCGCGTGAGGTCGTCGATGCATCGGCGATGTATCGGCGAGGTCGGTGATGCCGCGATGCCGCCGGCGCGGACAAATCGCCGCTGCCTCGGCGATGCGGCGCGATGCTCCGACCCCGTATGCTTTTGACCGCAGTCGTGAGGCCTTGCGCCTCGCCCTTGTCGGCCTCCTGCGGATGGGAGGGGTGAACTACGGCGTCGGTTTCTGACACCGCGGGGAGGAGGAGGGGGAGGATGAGGAGGAGGAGAGGGAGGAGGAGGAGGAGGAGGAGGAGGAGGAGGAGGAGGAGGAGGAGGAGGAGGAGGAGGAGGAGAGGGAGGAGGAGGAGGAGGAGGAGGAGGAGGAGGAGGCGGAGGAGGAGGAGGAGGGGGAGGCGGAAGAGGAGGAGGAGGGGGAGGAGGAGGAGGGGGAGGCTCAGGTTCGTGTCGTGCCGACTTCGGCGTCGGTTTCTGGCACCGCGGGGATCGGTCAACCTTGAACGATCGTCCGTTTCCGAAACGTCCAAATCGTTCCACATCGAACGATTCTGGGCCGCTCGCGGCGTCCAACGTTGAACACCGCTGGCGGGGTCGCCGCCGGTCGACACGACATGAACCTACCGGATGTGGGAGAAGGCGCTTCGCTGGAACAGTGCAACTTGCACACGCCACATTCACGCGGACCTGCGGCTTTCAAGGTGCCAGCGCGGGCACCGCGTAGGGTCCAAACATGTCGGGAGAAACAATGGAGCACGGCACCCCACGTGAACAACTCTGGGAAGACGGGCGGGCCCTGACAGCACAAACCGCATAACCACCCTCAACAGATCTGCCAATGAGGCGCATAACCGGCCCTGGCGGATTGGTGTATATGCCTTGGACAAACGTTCAACGGAAAACAAGCCAGGACCACATACACACACATACACACATATATACATATATATGTATATACATATGTATATATACATACATACATACATACATACATACATACATACATACATACATACATACATACATACATACATACATACACATACCAATCGAAAACGCATTGAACAGTATCCACCACTCCCAAAACGACGGCCGAATCGATAGAGATTCTCGCCTGGATGAGGGGTGCGCCTGACATCGGGCACCAATGCTGGTACCACTGGGGAAACAACATGCTAGAATCGGAAAAGAGGAGGTTCGATAACATCGTCACAAAAAAACACTCTGCACCAACGTTGTCACATCGGACCCGTATGCCACACCGCACTGCCGCACACCTTGGATGCAATTCGACGCCCCCTGCAAGTTCCCCCAAATTGCAATGGTCAGCCGAATGCATCGCCTGAAGTATTGCGTGCTCCGATGCTGTTCCTCCTCCTGTTCCTGCCTCCTGCTCCCACAGCGCGGTAGGATCATGGTAGGGATGAGCGGTGAGCATGCACTGGCCTTGTTCGCACAAGCTCAAACCTCTTGATTGAATATGGCAAGCGACAGTTTCTGAAGATGGGCCAAAGACGCACAGAAAAAAAGGTGCCATTTGAGAGGCACTCGTCATTCAAGTTGCAATTGACTGGAATCGTTTGACTGGAATCCCCCCGCCGTGTTCCTACTCCGACCCACCCCATGCGAGCAGGCCACGCCCTCATAATCCTCCATGCCATGTCGTCCTCACCGTATTCCCCGTCGTCTCCCTCGTCCTCCTGCAAATCCTGCCGTTCCTCCTCCGACTATTCGCACGCCGACACACAACACCTGTCTACGCCGCATGCCGAAATCAATCCGCATCGGACCGAACAACCACACGTCGACATAACACATCGACATTTGGCGGTGCGGCACTACAAAACGCGACACGACACTAACCGACATAACACTACGATACCGCGACCACAGCAAACAATGACACCACGCGAACCGATCGGCAGACACCGCATCGCACCGCATCGCACCGCAACGCACCATGCACCGATCACCACGCACTACGTACACAAACAAAACGCAACACGCCACCAACCGCACCATGGCGCAGACCACAGCCCCAGTCCACCTTGCCAGCGCTGCCCAGCAAGGAAGACGGATAGAGGGAGAGAGAGAGTGGTAGAGAGAGAGAGAGAGAAAACAAAAGAGATATATATATATATAGAGAGAGAGAGAGAGAGAGAGAGAAAAAAAAAAGAGAAAAGACGACGACGGCGATGGTAAGGCTTCGGGCCGCACACAGACAGCACCCCCAGAGAATCCTGGCTGGCCTTACCAGGCCCTCCGAGGTGGCCCGGGGCGGCTTTTACACCTGGCAAAAGGCTCCAGCAGCGCCCCTGGGGCGCTTCGCGCACCAGGGTTGAGGTGTTGAAACCGCCCCGAAGTACTCGGGGTGCATGGTGTGACCTTGCGCAGCCCGAAGCTTTGCCAGACGCGACGACGACCACAGCGAAGACGACGACGACGACGACAATGACGAATATAGTTTCGACGACGATGACGACGAAGACGACGACGACGACGACGACGACGACCACGGCGCAGGCGGAAGGCGGGGCTGGCGGGACAAGGCAGGCAGGATAGAGAAGGGGGCAGAGAGCATACAAGGCGAGGAGGGAACTGCCCCTTGGGGGACAACACAAGCTGCACAAACATAATACTGGTTGCGTATTTCCCTGCACGCTGTGAAGTTGGGCATCCTTTTTGAATCCGCAACGCTGCGACCCAGCTTCACCGTATCGTGCCGCCTTTTCCTCCTGAGTAGTTAGATTTCTTACATGCGCGAAGCAGCCTTGTGGCACGGGGGGGAGGGAACGAGGATGGGGGTGCGCATGCGCCCTCGTCGCCCCCAGCCCGCGGAAGCGGCAGCAGCGGCAGCGCTCCCACGCGCGGAGGCAACGGGCGAACCGCCAGGGCACCCCTCCGCGGCGCCGTGCCGCCGCGCTGCAGGCAGGCGACCCAAGCAGGCCCTGGCGAAGCGACGTTGGCTCACCGCCCGCCGAAGAGGGCCTGCGCGGCCTCCGCCGCGGGCAACGGCAAAGGCGACGGGCGCAGCAAGGGCTGCGGTGCCCGCGGCGGCGCCACCAGCGCAGGCTGCCGCAGCCCGCCGGCCGTGGCCGCCGCGCCGCGCCGGCCGGCCGTGCGTGCGCCGGACCGGTGTCCGGCGGCGCCGCGCCCGAGGCCCGCCCGGCGCGGTGGGGTCGTGGTTGGTCTGAAAGCCCGCCAGCTCGACCGCTGCCTGAAGCCGCTGGGCCGCCTCCATGGTCTGAAGCTGCAGCTCGCGCCGCTGGACCAGCGCCGGGGCGGGCAGGCGCGGCCTCGCAGCCGCTCCCGCTAGCCCGTCGGCCGCCGCTTTGCCGGCGTGGTCCTCGAGAGACAGCCCCTCCTCGTTGCCTGCTCCTCGCCGAGGTGGCCCTTTACGCAGCGGGCCCTCCAGCAGTCGGCCAAGCAATGCGGGGCCAGCTGGTCCCAGAAAACTGCGTGCGACCACTCAACTCCATGGGCTGATGGGCTGGGCGTCGTCCGGCCTTGCCCCCGTACTTCGGCTCCGTGGTGACCTCCACCAGCTCTCTGGCCAGCCCCAGTTTCGTGCAAGGCACAAGTGAGCTCCGTGCGCTGCGCGGTCTGCACGCCGTCGACTGGGCCCCCGCGCTCCAGCGCGCCAGCTGAGTGCGCCACGCGCGCCCCCCAGCCCGCTCTGGCCACCAGGGGGTTGGCAGGATGCACCCACGCGCCGTCGGTCCAGGCCCGCGCCCGCTGGCCCGCGGCTGCCGCGGCAGCAGCCGCAGCCAGGTCGGGCGGCGCCGGGGGCCGAAATGGCCACGACGACAGATCCACCATGGCCGCAAGGCGCGAGCCATGCGGCACGACCCCCAATCAGGGCCACACCTCTCGCGGCAGGCAGGCCCGCGCCGCCGCAGGGGCGAGCCCAACACCTGCGA